AAAAGCCTTGAAAATCTGGGGTGTTACATTGATGATTTCTGGCCCAAAACAACCCGGTAATGATATAGATGTCTTTTTGGCACCTTTGATTGAGGACTTGAAACAATTGTGGGATGAAGGTGTGTTAGTGTTTGATGCCTACCGGAAAGAGAATTTTAAGTTGCATGCTATGCTTTTTTGCACAATCAATGACTTTCCAGCTTATGGAAACCTGGCTGGGTATAGTGTCAAAGGACATAAGGCATGTCCTATATGTGAAGATAATACATGTTATACACAATGTTGACTCAAAGTGCTTTGTCAAAGTTGTGCAAAAAGAATTCCAGTTCTATAAAGGAATATCCGTCATAAGAGGAATAGCTAATGAAGAATACTAGTTCTAAAGGGAATTGTTATTGAAGTTTTTCTAGTTCTAGTTTGATTAGGAATAGCTTTGTTATTCACGAATATGTTAGGAGTAGTTACTATAAATTGGGATTGCCCTTTATTGTAGAACTTAAGCATTCAACATTAATCTTGTGAGGTACGAGAGTCTTTGAGAATAGGATACTAAATTCCCCTAGAAAGTAGTACATGTATTTAGGTTTCAATAGTTTGGTAGGAAAGATCATTCTATTGTGTAATCTCAGGTTCCAAACAGTGTACTTTAAATATTGAGCTTTTAGTGGATTTAGGCAAGTTCTCAAATTGAGAAGTGCCTCGCAGATTAGGGTTGTTTGCCCAAACTGCGTTACAGATCGTTTGTGTTACAACGTCAGTTTCAACATCACTGTGTGCTGCGCTATTTATATATTTCAATTGGTATCAGAGCCAAACTCCTTAAGTTACTAGCATGATCCTAATGGAGTTTTCAAGAGAAGGACTACCAAACACAGAAGGGATACAGTGCTATGAGTGCAAAGGGTTTGGACATATCCAGTCAGAATGTCCAACATACTTTAAAAGGAAGAACAAGACATACATGACAACATTAAGTGATGACTCAGACAGTGAAGAAGACACCAACACCAATTTCGTAGCATTCACCGCAAATCATGAAAATAACAACGGAGAAGATATACAAGAATTACTAGAGGCATATACTCAACTACATGCCAAATGGGAACAAATCATCAAAATAAATCTAGATCTCATGGAAGAAAATCAGTTTCTAAAAGATGAAAAAGATAGAGGCGAAAAAACGCCTTAAAGATACTCAGAATGAATTAATAGAGTCGAAAGGCAGAGAGGCCAAACTGTTACAAGAGATCAAGGAACTAACTGAGAGGCCTAGATCTCCAAATCCAGCATCCAATGAAAGTCATTCATATGAAATTCCTGAAGTGTCGCAACATCACTTCCAACCCCGAAGGAGGATCAGATGTTATTACTGTCACGGACTGGGGCACATAAAAGCATATTGCTTCAAAAGACAAAATGATCTGTATTACAGACAAATCAACAAAGATTGGTCAGTACAAAGCAAGAAAATCTGGGTAAGAAAAGATCAGAATGTTGCCTACACCTCAAAAACTAGCAAAGAACAAAACATATGGTATTTTGACAGCGGGTGTTCAAGGCATATGACAGGAAATCCAGAAAATCTGGAAAACATTAAGTATAAAAATGAAGCACATATTACCTTTGGAGATGGAGGAAAAGGTCAGATCATTGCAAGCGGCACCTTGAATGTCCATGGGCTGCCTAGGTTGCCAAAAGTCCTTTTAGTACAAAGTCTAAAAACAAATCTAATCAGCATAAGTCAGCTTTGTGAAGATGAACTCAAAGTAGAATTCTCTAAAGACAATTGCACTGTGTTTAATCAGAATCACAAGTGTGTCATGATGGGAAAAAAGTCCGAAAACTAATGCTATACATGGAATGGTGACCTATCTGGTTTACAAACAGCTAACAAGCAAAAAAAATCACGACACCAACATATGGGACACATAAATTCTCATAACATCAAAGGGGACCAAGAAATATTCCTAGACTATTCAAGTTATTCATCAAACAGTAAGACTTTCAGTGCAGACAGTACAATGGAATCCATGAATGTGGTTATTAATGACACAATTTCAAGAATAACCACTAATGATGACGAAAGTCCTAGAGTTGTTGAAACAACTGTTCCAACACCTCTGACGACTGTTATGCAGAATCAAAAATAGAAACAGAACCAGATGAAGAAAAGGATGATGACTCTGCAACGATCATTATGAGCCTTGTTCTGATTTCACAGGAACCCTACCAAAATATTCAAGACGAATGCGAACCACCTCCAATCTGTTTGTGCAAGACAGCCCTGGAGGGCGAGGGTGGTATGGCGGTTGCAACAGAGCGTTTTCTAGCGATGATTATGTCACCGGAAATTGGAGAAATTCCAGTTTCGTCTAGGTTATCCCATGAAGATCAAATCGGATATTTTAGAGATCATTTTGAAGAGCTTTCACCGGATTTTGTGTTATTTCCAGAAATTAATGATGGCACAGAATTAGTACGTTCGAAATTCCGATCAGGAAATCTAGATGCGATCGTAAGGCAGAAGAGACCGATTGATGGAATCTCAGTGGATTCATGTTTGCATGGCTAGAATACATCTCCGATTAAAAGAATTCTCAACAGATTGTCTCAGCTTTGGCGTCGCGCTCCTCCGATGTGCAATTTCCTTTCGGGATGTCGCGATTGAGGAGAAGTGATGAAATCAAAGGCATTGGTGGTAATATCATAGGAAGAATAAATCAGAGGAGAAATTAGCTGTGATAGCGTGATGTAATTGGGATTTTTTTTAAACAAATCATACTTAACGATAGCACTCACCAATAACAGAGATACATGGAATCAATTAAGGGGGAGATGAGTCAAAAGTCAAAGTTTTTTTTACATGGAATCAATTAAGGGGGAGATGAGTCAAAAGTCAAAAGCTTTTTATGGAATCAAGGTTTTTGCCAAAATTTTGACAAAGGGGGAGAATGTTGACTCAAAGTGTTTTGTCAAAGTTGTGCAAAAAGAATTCCAGTTCTATAAAGGAATATCAGTCATAAGAGGAATAGCTAATGAAGAATAATAGTTCTAAAGGGAATTGTTATTGAAGTTTTTCTAGTTCTAGTTTGATTAGGAATAGTTTTGTTATTCACAAATATGTTAGGAGTAGTTACTATAAATAGAGATTGCCCTTTATTGTAGAACTTAAGCATTCAACATTAATCTTGTGAGGTACGAGAGTCTTTGAGAATAGGATACTAAATTCCCCTAGAAAGTAGTACATGTGTTTAGGTTTCAATAGTTTGGTAGGAAAGATCATTCTATTGTGTAATCTCAGGTTCCAAATAGTGTACATTAAATATTGAGCTTTAGGTGGATTTAGGCAAGTTCTCAAATTGAGAAGTGCCTCGCAGATTAGGGTTGTTTGCCCAAACTGCGTTACAGATCGTTTGTGTTACAACGTCAGTTTCAACATCACTGTTGCTGCGCTATTTATATATTTAACACAACTTGTCCATGGCAGAAAGACAGTCTACTTGGGTCACCGGAGGTTTCTTAATAGAGCTCACCCTTACAGGAGATTAAAAAAGGCTTTCAATGGGCAACAAGACTATACAGATGCTCCACAACCAATGACTGAGATTGAAGTTTATGAACGTGTAAAAGGTATAAATGTGACTTTTGATAAAACTCAAAAGCTTAAATCTCAAAGAGGTAAGAGGTCAAGAGCTAATGTTGAGGTACTTCCAAATGAAAAGAGTCCATGGAAAAAGAAATCCATATTTTTTTTTATCTTCCATATTGGAAGACATTAGATGTGAGACATAGTATTGATGTGATGCATGTGGAGAAAAATGTGTGTGATAGTCTTGTTGGAACTCTTTTAGATATAAAAGGTAAGACTAAAGATGGACTCAATGCTAGATTAGACTTGATTGAAATGAACATAAGAGCAACATTAGCGCCACGCCAAGGGGATAAGAAGACATATTTGCCTCCAGCCGCTCATACTTTATCAAGAAAGGAGAAAATTATTTTTGTGAGTGTTTACGTGGAGTCAAGGTACCACAATGGTACTCATCAAATATTAGAACACTTGTGAATATGCAAGATTTAAAATTGGTGGGATTGAAATCTCATGATTGTCATGCCTTAATGCAGCAACTATTGCCAGTGGCTGTTAGAGGTATTTTGCCCAAAAAGTTGAGATATACTATTATAAGGTGTTGTTTCTTTTTCAATGCTATCTGTGGAAAAGTGATTGATCCAGACAAACTAGATGAATTGCAAAATGGCATTATTGTTGCATTGTGTCAGTTGGAGATGTATTGTCCACCGTCATTTTTTGATGTCATGGTTCATTTGGTTGTACATCTGGTGCGAGAGATTAGACAGTGCGGTCCTGCTTATTTGAGGTGGATGTACCCATTTGAACGGTACTTGAAAGTCTTAAAAGTTTATGTGAGGAACCGATATCGACCAGAAGCATCTATTGTTGAAAGCTATATTGCTGAGGAGGTAACTGAATTTTGTACTGAATATTTGGCGGGGGTAGAAGCTATTGGTCTTTCTAAGTATCGACATGAAGGAAGAAGTGCTGGGAAAGGTACTCGAGGACGCAAAGTAGCCAGTATGCCTCGTGAAGATATTGAGGAAGCACATTTGTACATCTTGCATAATACAAGTGAAGTCGAGCCATATTTAGATGAGCACAAGGCATTGATTAAAGAGAAAAATCCAAGAAAGACAGACATGTGGATTGTGAGCGAACATAATCGTACTTTTATTAGTTGGTTCAAGTATAAAGTTATTTTGCGCTGATTGCACGGAGCAAAGTTCCTATCACATATAAAAATTGGAAAGTGGTCACAGAAGAGAGTAAAGCGTTGGTGTGGGATGATATCGTGGTATGCAACTTATTTATAAAACTTTTGAATTAATTGTATTTAATTTGTTTCTAATAAATAATCTTGTCTTGCAGAGCGTTTATGATATTCCCACTGATGATGCGGATCTGAAGGATTCTTTGAAGAAATATGCGGGTGAACGGTGGAGAGATTTTAAAAGTAGATTGAACAGAGACTGCATATTCAATAATGAAGACCCAAGAAAGAATACTCAATGTCAAAAATACACATTCGTTGATCCAAATACATGGAAAATTTACTTGGAGCGTCGTAAAACTGCAGAGTTTGAGGTATATATTATTATTTTTCTATCAATTATTTATTAACTCAAATATATTAAAGATATATTATTACTTAATGTTTTCTTTTTGTGTAGGAATCAAGAAAGAAACATCAAGAGATACAGAGTAAGAATGTTCATCCACATCATTTAGCCCGAGGAGGCTATAAGAGATTGCAGAAGATTATGATGGATGAGAAGATGAAAGAACAAGAAGAAGATGCAAGTTCAGATCCATCGTCAATAGTTTCTCCTCCATCTCCGCCAGCTAGACATGAAAAGTGGAAGAGGGCAAGAATGAACAAATCAGGAAATATCAACAACGAAGCGACTAGAATGGTCGTGGAAAAGATTGTAAGTAATATGTTAAAATTTTCTACATTATTAAGATAGCTAGTAATCATTATTAAATATTTTTTTTATATGTTAGGATTTTCTATCATTGCAAGCTTCTCAAGGAGAGTTTGTTGAGTCCGGTCGACAAGATATATTGTCTAGTGCCATAGGTACAGATGAGCATTGAGGACGTGTTAGAGCCGTGGGTAGAGCACATGGCTTAAAAAGTTACTTTGGTCCTGCAAAACGTCGTCAAAGCCAGTCTACACTAGAAGTAAAAGATATGATTAAGACAGCAGTTGCTGAGGCGTTAGCAATTGCCCGAGAGCAATATGAAACATCCTTGCAAGCAGCCATTCAAGAGATGAGGTTTGAAATTAGTAGTATGAAGACTCCAGCATCTCAACCTGTACCATCAAGGCAGGAGGAAGACATGCGTGTAGCTGTCCAACCACATGGTCATAGTGAAAAAGCAAGTTCTCTAGACCCTTTTGCTGATTTACCGGCCGTAAGTAATCATTTATAACTAATCTTATTATTATTTATTAAAAACATTTTAGCTATTTCTTAATATGAATTCATGCAGTTAGGAGCAGGATGTGAATTGTATTTGGAAGATCCCATTAGACATAAAGTTGCACGCGGGACAGTTTACAAGGCCGAAAGGGTTCACGGGATACAAATACAAGTGGATCAAGTGAAGGTCACCGTGACTGAAATTCTCGTGTCAAGTGCAAAGGTTCCCTTCCCTACCGATGAGGTTCAACTGTTAAGGGATGCACTGCACAACTTTAATATTTGGCCAAAGAAGTTGGTTGAGTTGTATACCGAAGCTGATGAGGTATGTATTTTCAAAATTTTTGGATTTTAAAGTAGTGTTTAATTTACCTTTTAAAAATAGTAATTGTTACTTATATTGAACAGGTACAAATGACTTATGATTCCGGTGTGCAATGACCTGCTGTTGATTTCACTATAGCTGATCCGACTTCTTTGAGTCCTCGATGTCTAAAGGTATATAAAATTGTTCACAAACTTGATGAAAATGTTGTGATAAAGATGGAGCGTGGTATTGTGGGCGATGTTGACTATCCCTTACAACTTGACCCATTGGAGATTATGCGTTTCTTAAGGATGGAGACGTTAGATGTTTCCATATTGCAGTTCTTTATAAGGTAATAATTATGTTCTTTTCTTATATTTGTTTATATAATATTTTTCATTTCATCTATTATATTACTAATATATATGATTGATTGTATTTTTGAATTGGGGTCTTTATGACAAATTTGATTTGGCATCAAAGACCACATATGGCTTCTTAGATACACATTTCATTCAACCAGTTTCGAATACTATAGATGAACGGACAGGGTATATCCACGTCACCATGCAATATGGCCAAAAATAATGTTATCTAGCGCCATATATTTTAAAGTAAGTTTTAATTGTTTCAAATAAAATAAATTATATATAATACACTTTTATTATATATTATATTTACTTACAACTAATCCATTATTGATTTGTAGTGACCATTGGATGTTGATGGCAATTTGTCTTGAACTTAATGAAATCTATTGGTTTGATTCAATTGGAGGCCAGCCACGTGATGAGATCAAAGAGATTGTTGAAAAGTATGTGAACTTATAAGTATTAATATGTATAATTAATAAAGTATGCATGATGTCATAAAGTATTTATGTATACTAATCTCTTATAATTTTAGGTGTGTCAATTCAGCAAAGTTGTTGAAAAGCAATGGATCAACTCGTTCACCAAAATGGACTAAGCTTTTGGTAAGTATTTTATACATTTGTAAAACTACATATATTTTATTGTTTTTTATTAAATAAAATTTTAAATGTAATTTAATTCAAATGTAGTGTGCTCAACAAGTTGGAAGTACGGCATGTGGATATTATGTGATGAAATACATGCTTGAAATTCTTTCCAAAGAAGCATGTGCAGGAATGGATAAGGCATGTATTTTAATATAATACCTTTCTCTTTCTAATTTTAAAAATGCTAGCTTACTAATTATTTAATAATTATCAACTTTGTAGATTGTTGAGAGAGTTCGTGGATCGAGCTACACTCAACAAGAAATTGATCAAGTAAGAGACGTATGGGTCGACTTCTTTGTTGATGTATGGTTAAGTATGTAAATTGAACAAACTGATATTAGGTTTTGATAATGTTAACTTGTATTATTAATTAGTATCAAATTGTGAGATTTATTACTTTTATTACTTGTTTCATTACAAATATTTGATTCTACATATTTTGCTGTGGTTGTGGTGCAATAATTGAGCAGGTTTTGGTTGTGGTTGTGAGAAATTGAGCAGGTTTAGGTTGTGGTTGTGGATGTGAGTAATTTGAGAAGGTTTTTGGGTATAAATGGACAAATAAACTGTATATTAAAAAAAAAAAAAAACATACAACGTCGGCTAATTATTATTAGCCGACGTTGTATATATTTAAAAAAAAAAATACAGTTTACAACGTCGGCTAGTTATACATAGCTGACGTTGTGTATTATTTTTTTAAAAAATAAAATACCTACAACGTCGGCTAATTGGTAATAGCCGACGTTGTATATTAATTAAAAAACAGATAAAATACCTACAACGTCGCCTAAATGCTATTAGTCGACGTTGTATAGTATTTTAAAAAAAGATAAAATACCTACAACGTCGGCTAATAGCAATTAGCCGACGTTGTAGGTATTTATTAATTAAATTAAAAAAATATCTATAACGTCGGCTATTTAAATAGCCGACGTTATTGATAATATATACAACGTTACCCAGAACAACTTTGGAACTTAGCCGACGTTAAAAGTGCTATTTAACCGACGTTAAAAGCCTGCTGTGTAGTAGTGCCTGAGGCACATATTCCAGTACTCAATAGAACTAAAATAACGCACGTAGAACTTAGAGCAGTGAATGAAAGAGGAAAGTGGATAATGCACACACCAGCTAAACACCATTCAACCGTATTCTGATTAATTGATTTTGACTCCTCATGCACATCATTAAAAATGGAACAAATGTGTAATGTTTACAGAAATAGGCAATGTGCACACAGTTAGAGTCTCGCACGCACACATTACAGCACCCCAAACGGCTTAAAAAATATGCAGGCACATGAATACATTTTGAATGGTAATGCCTATCATTTAAATTGGAACACAACCGTAATCTATATTCACCCGTATAACTGTGTGCATCCCAATTATGTCACCCTTTACGTATTTCTTGTGGTTATCCACCCCGTAAATGGAACGAAAACAAAGTTGTATCCGCAAATATACGAGTATGAACTTAGTAGTGCACAGACATATAGACTAACATGCACACAATCCATTTGCAAATTATTCAGGAACGTCTTGTCATGTTAGCTACCACTCATTGCAATAGAAGCACACATCTCAAGATATGATTCCAAATCAGTGTTGGTTCCACATTTTTTATTTTTTTTGCTTCCATGTAAACGCTCTTATTATTTAGTAATTATTGTGTATGCATCTCGCTACAGTACTGTGTGCATGGAACAACCTGTATGCTGTGTTCGAATCATATTACTGAAGAAGGGTATTTATATGAGCGTGTATTCAATGATGGGGTGTGCTAATAGACATACAGGATGTTAGCATGTGCATTCCAGTGATTTAGTAATAGCCATCTTCACAGGAAAAGAAAATTGCATTCAAATTCTCACACACACACACACACACACACACACACACACACACACACACACACACACACACACACACACACACACACACACACATATATATATATATATATATATATATATATATATATATATATATATATACGGAATATAGAAATTAATTTTTAGAAAATTATGTTTGGTATGAAACCAAAATGTATTTATATAAATAACAAGAAGAGAGTTTTCAAACTTGAGGTTAAATCTATAACACCCCGTGTTACGGCCCCTAAAACCATTTAATTAATCAATCAATAAGCCCAAGAGAAGGAATAAATTATAATGATCAATTAGGGAAAAAGGCCCACCGTAGTCCATGGGCCCTCATATATATACCCAACCCCTAAACCTAATCCTTAGTTCCGAAAGAAATAGAATTAGCAAGCCTATAGTATTAATTCCTAATTAGGACTCCTAAATATATAAATAAGGGACTTAGAAGACACCTAGAACTTCCCACACGCCTAAACGCCCCACCTCCCCAAGAGAGCTCCAAGAATTCCCTTAGAAGAAAGCAAGAAAGCTTAAAGAAAGACCCTTCATAGCCAAGGAACTAATTAAGGCTAAGAGGTAACTCATGTCTCAACAAAACCTATTTTCATAGCTATGATTTCCCCTTAGGGTTTCCCCCCCGTATGATTGTGAATGGCGAATTACTATGATTATTATTGATGTTTAATGATTCCATGGGGAATCTTGGTAATCTTGATATTGGGAGTTTCTTGATAATTGTGATGTTCTTGATGATTAATTGGGATTCTTGATGATTATGTGTTGTTCTTGATGATTATGATGTTCTTGATGATTAATTGGTATCCTTGATGATTATGTGTTGTTCCTACCGAATCTTGCAATTAGAAGACGAATCGTATTCTTGTTGATATAAAAGTGATTAGTACCCTAGGTTGTACCGTATGCTTTGATTCTTGGATTATCGGGTGGGAAATCGCATGTTTGGGTGTTGATTACGTTTAGAAAAGCATGATAGGCCATGTGCCGTTCGTTTCCCGTACTTGAACCGTTAATTGTCTACTTGTTGTTGTTAATTGCGTTGTAAAGTGTCTAAGCATGGGTTCGGGTTCCACAACGGTTCCCGGGGCGAAAAGTGATGAAAGGAGTCAGTGGGGGGTAGGTGGGGGTAGGGGACCCGCCACCTACCCGCGGCATTCTCGGGCAGCTCCGGCAACGGGCAGCCGGCGGGCGGGCAGCTGCCCGCCGGGCACCCGCTGCCCGGAACAGTGGCAGCCGGCGGGTGGACCCCCACCCACCGGCTACCCGCTGGAAATTACGCTACCTCAGGCTCCCGGTTTCCCCGTTTGATGTTTCCCCGATCCCCGTGGTGTCCCAACTGACCCCGTTTGTCGTGCCTATGTCTAGTTTGATGTTTCGGGTACCGTTCGTAGGTTTATGAGTCTGTTATATCGCATGCTAGTTGAATTGGTATCC